AATTTGGCGGTAGTGCCCCGCCCCGCCCCGCCCCTCGGGGACATCCGGGCTCTGAGCCCGACTCTGTGCCGGGCTGGAGCCGGGCTGGGGTGAGAGAAGTCGCTCCCTTGCTCTGCCCAAACTTAGTCCCAAACTCTGGAGGTTCTTGTCCCAAGAAGCAATGTAAAGTTTGAAACGAGCCGGGCGCAGTGGCTCACGCCTGTAATCCCAGCACTTTGGGAGCCCGAGGCGGGCGAATCACTTGAAGTCTGGAGTTCGAGACCAACCTGGCCAACATGGGGAAACGCCGTCTCTGCTAAAAATACACAAATTAGCTGGGCGTGGTGGCGCACGCCTTTAATCCCAGCTACTTGGTGGGGCTGAGGCAGGATAATTGCTTGAACCGGCGAGACGGAGGTTACAGTGAGCCGAGATTGTGCCACTGCACTCCAGCCTGGGTGAGAGTGACACTGCAGCTCAAAAAAAAGAAAAAGTTTGAAACGGCCGCACCCTCGCCGTCCCTGCGTGGTCCCCGAAAACCAGACGCCTTGGGGCGTGGGTTCGGCCGAGTGCGGCAACCTCCTGCCCTCCCTCTAAGGGTCCCTAGAAAGCGGCCTGGACAACTGCACCTGGGCATCCATGCGACGGGACCACCGCCCGCTGAAATTCCTGTTGTGGAACAAGGCTGGACGGTGATGGCAATGCTCAGGATATATTAGGTTTTTGTTTTTTGTTTTTTTGAGACGGAGTCTTGCTCTGTTGCCCAGACTGGAGTGCAGTGCGCAATCTCGGCTCACTGCAAGCTCCTCCTCCCGGGTTCACGCCATTCACCTGTCTCAGCCTCCGGAGTATCTGGGACTACAGGTGCCCGCCACCCCGCCCGGTTAATTTATATTTTTAGTAGAGACGGGGTTTCACCGTGTTAGCCAGGATGGTCTTGATCTCCTGACCTCGTGATCCGCCCGCCTTGGCCTCCCAAAGTGCTGAGATGACAGGCGTGAGCCACTGCTCCCGGTCTATATTAGGTTTATAAATAGCAGGAGGCAAAGCTATTCGGTGTGATCCTGACTTCACTTGGGGGAAAAGGGCAGGTATCTGAGCCTGGGAAAATGATCGAGCTATAAGCCAAAATGATATAACGCCGATTATATA